TTTGCCAGAAGTTACTACTTGCAAACTAAGTTGTTTGCACTCATGAACCGAGTCAAAAAACTTTTTTTTTGATGGAATTCAGTGAGTTTTGATGGTATTGCTATTTAGTTTAGGTATCCACAAGCTTTCATGGAAGATATCTGGTACAATGTCAAGTCAAGGTAAGTTGGTGCGGACCAATGTACCTATTAGGGGTAGAAAGAAGACCAACCAGCTTAGATTTGGAAGTGTTTTTGAGTGGAAAGGACTTAGTAGGGACAGAAGACAATGTGGAAATGCAGGACAAAATGGTAGAAAGACTATGGGAAATAGCGACAGCCAACTTAGGGGTAGCATTGACAGATTCGGGAAAGCAGGGTGGTATAAAATCCTGTACTGGGTGCACAGTGGAACAGTGACGCGTGTAGTCAGATACCAGGATTATCTAGTCAGTATCCTTTACCTCGGGCTCTATTGGATTATTTTAAAATTTCTCACAAGTCTCTTTAGTGAATATAAGATCAAGGTCATCCTTGACTTTGGCCTCACTTACAAATGGTAGCTGTGAATAAGGCGGCAACCAATTAGGTAGCAACTACACATTACTAAGAACAGCATAATTTTGGTAAATTCCTTTGAGGAACAGAGAAAAATATTTTGTGTTGCATGGAGTATATTTCTACAGATTGCATTCCCACCTGGGGATGTCAATTTAACCAGCTACATGGTGCCTTAAACACGGAGGCTGATGAATATTTACATGCTTGATGGACTGGATTATCCATATGTTTGTTGAGTAAATATTGGCGGAGTGCTGCTCTGGCCTAGTGCTCTTCTTAGGCACTAGAGCTATGAACAAAACTGTGCACTGGGTTCAGAGTTCTAATCAAAGATCTGAGTTGAGAAACAGTCAAGCAAAATATACACAATATGGACACGTGTGTATATACAGTGGTCAATAGTAATATGGCAAATAATTAAATTGAAAACAAACCCCATGACGGTAAGAGGCACACTGCCAAGAAGCAAGAATAATGGGACAAGCATGTTCAAAGCAAGAGTATTCCAAGTGTTAATGTGTCTTTTGCTGTATTTTTTATTTAATCATTCATGGTATGTTTTGATTGCTTCTTGTGGGTCAAACACTTATGACAATTTTTGTCAAATAAAATGTTGCAGAGTATCCTCATTCACTGAGTCTGGCAACACACAACTTCTGGTTCCTCCCCAGAGTCAACATGACCACGAATGGTAAACATTTTTAATCGGTTTAGAATACTTAGGCAGCCATGACAGTGCAAATAAAGACACAAAAGAAGACTCTCATGACTGCTTCACAAAGTGGCAAAAAGATACGATAAACATGTTGAAAGCAAGGGGGGGGGTATTCTAAGAGGCATTAATGGTCATATGTCTTTTAAATAATTCTTAAAATGTAGACATTCTGGTTTTTTAAAAATTATACAGTATCTAAAATGGTGAGTAGTGAGATGGAAAAGTGTAAAGCTGGACCAGAGTTAGCACTACACGGGAGGGGGATTCTCCTGTAGACAGAACACCTTCACACAGAAAGCCTTTCTGATGAGGCCCCTCTGGGTGAAAAGCCTGAGCCCTGAGAATTGGGGTAATCGAGAAGGTGTGTGTGGTTAGGAATGAAGGCACAGGGCTGAGTGGTAGGCAGGGAAGGAGACCCCTGCAGAGCAGGCACCGGGAACTAGAGGGGGCGCTTACAGTAGGGCCTGCTAAGACTCTGGCATCACATTAAGTATGACGGAAGCTACTGTGGATACCTAGCAGGGGGCTGATGTAATCGGACTTGGACTTGAAGCTGATCCTCCTGGTTGTGTCAGAAGATGAGTTCCGGAACAGGAAGCAGGGACACAGTTAGGAACCTTTTTTTTTGGTACCAGGGATCAAAGTCATAACCTTGTGCTTGCTAGGCAGGCACACTGAGCTAAATCTCCGGCCCTAGGAGACCTTTTTGATAGTCCTTGTGCACTGTGATGGTGGGGTAAACTGACTGGGCGGTGAAGGGGCAAATGGGAAGGAACAGTCACATCCTGTGTGTATTGAGAGAACACTGGAGAGCATTTTTCAAATGCACTAAATATATGCTATAAAACAGAAAACTCAAGGATGACTTCAAGGATTTTGGCTGGAACAACTGGATGAGCAAGTGTTTATTGGCATCATGAACCTCAGGAAAAGGTCTTGGGGCACTGTTTGTCTTTTGGAACTAGTTAATTAGAAGTGAGTGTGAAGGACATAATTCAACACACGAGTCTGGAGTGAAATGCAGGGGAAACAGAAGAGGTATCAGTTGTGCGTTCATTCACACAGGGCCTTCTGCTGGCATGGTGATGACATTGCTTTGGTGCTATTGCCTACTAAATAATACTCTGCCTTGCATATCAGCACTAACAGATGACACTTCTCTGTCCTCTTTAACAATCACCCTCCCTAACACGAGGCATACTCTTGTTGCTCTGTGACATACCCAGAGCTCTTAGCTGCTTTTCTCCCAGATTTTGGAGGGCAACTGAGAATCCTGTGTATCATAGTCAGTGGCCACAAAAACAAAATTAGTGTATCCCAAACTGAACAATTTTGGAACACCCCTGAGAGGTAAGAGAACTGAAAGTAATTTAAACAGCTCTGCACAAGAATGACTTGCATTGTGTTGAGGGCACACCAAAGTCATCACACCTACTTAATATCACTAAAGGACTTTTCAGAGCATACTTCCCGGCCCCTCTCATTCTCCCCCCTCCCTCCATCCTACACAAAACACTCATGGAATCTAAAGGGTCTGTACTGTAGCATGAAACTTCCCCCATCTGGTGAAGGGTACACTTGTGTGCATGCGTGTGTGTGTGTGTGTGTGTGTGTGTGTGTGTGTGTGTGTCTTGAGGGGAATATAAAAATGGAAATTCTTCAAGAATTTATTGTACTATCTCTTTCTTTCTTCTGCAGATAGGTTAAGATAGGTGTGATGTACCTTTTAAAATTTGCTCAGATTTAATAAGACATCATTTCCTCTCATTCATTTTTTAGTTGGCCGACGCCTATCGGCTCCCGGTGGCTGTCAGTGCCGGGAACATCCTGCCCTTCCTCTGTCCTTCTTTATCTGCTGTCCCCGTCTCTATCATCTCTTTCACCTGGGTGCCAGCAGCTGAGTGTGACTCATCTTTTCTGTCTTCTCTATTGTTCCATATTTTTACCACCGAAGAGTAGTCAAAGTTACAAAAGTGTTCTTTCTGATCCATTGAACCCTTTCTGGGTGGACTGAAGGTCATTAGTAAGTTGCTCTTTCAAGGAAGAGGTCATTGAAGCTGGGAAACTGTTTTGTGGTCACCTACAATATCAAGGAAACTTAATCTTTTTCATGTGGGAGTTAATTGTTTTTCATAAACAATCAACCGAGAGGCCCTGCTGTGTGTCCTTTTCCTGCTTTGTCTGTTTTGCTGAATTATTCTACAGAGCTTATAAAGACCCACAGCTTCTGTTCTGTCCTTTAGGCAATAATGTATTTTATTGCAAATTATGGTAATTATCATAAATTGAATTACTCAGGGAATTTAATATACATGGAGACACCTTTTTAAATTTAAGCATTTGTGATCGGAGCTGATGATTATGTTGATGATGATGATGATGATAATCTTAGGAGTGGTAATATGCAGACTTGTGCAATGTTCTTTTGACAGGTGAAGACCAAAAATAAAAGCCTATCATCACACAGCTACATTTTTTTCATTGTGATGAGTTCCTGGTGCTCACTGGGACTATTATTTCAAAAATGTTTTTGCTGCCTGTCACTCTGCTACCAAAAATAAGCTAGTCTGAAGGAATCAAGTGTGAGAGGACATTCCTGGAAACCACCTCATCTGAGGCCATTTGTGTCAAAGCACTCTTGAATTCTTTTTCACTGCCTTTGTTTTCTACTTTCTGACCAAGCCAATTTCTGTCAAAAGATTGCATTAAAAAATTCAAATACAGTCCAACTGCTAAAATGTGTAACTAAAAATTCACTTAGCTGGTAGTTTATCTCAACCATTTCAAAGCATCTGTTAATGGGAGTCAGTGTCACCAAACAAACACGTAAGACAATGCTATTTTAGGAGGCCGGAAGAAGGGGTTGGAATTAAAAAACATCACTGATGCCAGAGTTGGGAGTCTGGAGTCAGGGAGCTCAAAAGTTCTTTAATAATAGACTGGTGACCTTGAACAAGTTACTGTGCCTATCAGATTTTGGGTCTTCAGCTGTGAAATGCAGCCAAATTGAGGGCTCTGAAAGCCAGGAGGTTATGCCAGAGACATGTTAAGCGTTACATCAGTGAAAATCACCACTGATTTGCACGGACACATCGCACTATATAAATCCGGTGACTTATGATTTCACGCTACACGAATCTGGGGTCTACTGCAGTTGCCTCGATTTCCATCCAGGTCACTGCAAACGAAGGAGCTTATTTCAGAAAGGACCTGGGCCAAAGAGGTGTCCCTGAGAGGCATTTTTGTTGGGTGCAGTTACAGAAACACTTGGCTCACTAGGGTGAGTAAAATTTAGATCCGAAGTCCAGCCCCGCTTCCAGGGTAAGGGGCGGTGTCATCACTACAAGGATGAAAGTGACCTCAGGCTGTTATTAGGAATCATTCCAGGAAAAGAGCAGAGCTCCGAGAGGCACGAGCTATTTACAAATGATCCGGGATACTTATTATACAGGGGAGAAGGGGCGAGGAGGATGCAGGGGGTGTGGCGGCCGCGGGAGCTTAAGTGTTCCAGAGGCTTCTGCTGGAAGGCTCTGGGGAACCAGGGAGCCTGCCCTTGAGGGGCTCTGCCGGCAGCCCGGCTCTGATCGCCCCGCAGCGACAGTTACCGCGCCAGGGTCCCGTGCGCTCCTCCTGCGCCCCGCCCCGCGGGCTCCGGCGTGCGCCCCACTCCCACGTGGTGCCCCGCCTGGACCCTCGCGCCCCCACGCGGCCCACTCGCCGCTGCCCACCCGGTAACGGCTTCTGGACGGGCGGCAGCGACCCCTCCCCCGCCTGCTCACGAGAGCCGCAGTGCCGCGCGCCGCGTGGAGGGGTAACCCGCCCCGGAACCGACGTGAGCCGCCCCGGGGCGGGGTTGGTGCAGGCGGTTGAGGGATCCCCGATTCCGGCGGGCGCGTCCTACGCGCACCTCGCGCGCCCGCCCCGCGCGCCCCGCGTCCCGAGCCCCGAGCTCCGAGCCTCTCGCGCGCGGCGGATTCGGCGCCGCCTCGGTCAGAGCCGAGCCTCCGGCTCCACGGAGCAGCCGCCTCCTCCGCCAGCCCGCGTCCACAGGCGTCCCGCCCCCTAGCCCGGCCCCGGCCCGGCCCGGCGTCGCCTCCCGCCTCCGCGCTCCTCCCGCCCGCTCCGCGCTCCTGGCCGCAGACGGTGCCCGGCGCCCCGGCAGGGCGGCGGCGGCTCCAGCATGAACCTGGGCGCGGGGCACAGCGGCGGCTGGGGCCGCGGGCAGGACAGCGGGGACGAGCCGCCCCCGCCGCCGCCGCCGCCCCCTCCGCCCCCGCCGCCGCCGCCGCCCGGGGAGCCCGCCCGGGCCCCCGCCGCCCCGCGGTACCTGCCGCCGCTGCCCAAGCTCCCCGCGATCCCGGCCGAGCGCGCCGCGGGGCCCGCTGAGCCGCCGCCGCCGCCGGGGGAGGTGGCCTCGCGGTGCAGGGGCGCGGACGAGCCGCCGCCGCCACCCCAGCTGCCCGCCGGCCAGGACGGATCGGCCGCGGGCGACTCGGACGCGGGTCCCGGGCGCCACCCGGACGCGGCCGTCCCCGAGGCGGCGGCGACGGGCAAGGGCGGCCCCGGGGTGCCCGAGGCCAGCGCGGGCGCGGAGGGTCAGCGGCGGGCCGGCGACCAGCCCGAGACGCGCTCCGTGTGCAGTAGCCGCAGTAGCAGCAGCGGCGGCGGCGACAGGCGCGCCGGACACCAGCACCAGCACCATCAGCCCATCTGCAAGATCTGCTTCCAGGGCGCCGAGCAGGTGAGGCCCGCGGGACCCCGGGCGAGGGGCGGCAGGCGGCCCAGCGGGTTCGGCCCGGGAGCCGGGGTGGAGATTTCAGCACCGCGGACAGCGCGCGCCTCTTGTCCTCTTAGGGAGGTTTGAGGTCCCTGCCTCCTGAAACCCAGGGGCTGTGTGTTCCCCTTCCCTGACTGCCAGGACAATGTCCAAGCGGCGAATATAGGATTAATTGGACCTTCACTTTCCCCTCTGTATCTGGTTTTGCAATTACACATTCTTCAGGTGCGAGAATGCTAACTGTAAGGCCATAAGTGTCTCTTGTGAATCACTCCAGAGATCTTGGCTTACACATAGAAACCAACGTAGGATGTAAGTTGAAGTCCGTTTTCTGTTAATGCATCCTGAGACGGGTAGTCCGAGAATAAAGCTTGCAGGTGAGTCATGTCACAATCAAAAAGAGCAGGGTCTTTCCTTGTTGTAAATTTTGGTGATCTAATCTCGGGGACATGATACTTGTGCTACCATTCTTTCAAAAGAAAAGGAAAATACTTTGAAAGAAAAGCTATTTAGCCAACCATGTACTTTATATTGTGCTTGAAGCAGAATTCTAAAAGTATAAACACCACTAGAGGGGAATGTAAACTAATACGATGGTTACCGTGCAGAAGAAAGAATAATACTATCTCTCTTACAGAATGTGTGGTCTGAGCAAACATTAGTTTAATATTTTTAAAAGTAAGGAAATTGCAGAAGAGTAGGCAGGCTTTCAAGAATATAGTGCCCTAAGTCAATATTTATGATGCTACATTTAGAAAAATAAAAGCACGATGCTATTGCAGGCTGCTTTCTGGGATGCTGTGCACTTCTTCTTTTGATTAAGAATAACTGCAGAGGAAATGCATCTGACCATCCACTTAAAAGTTATTACAGAGATTTAATAGTACAGCTTTCCCCCAAGGGTATTGGGAGCTATATCTTGCAGACATTTTGTATGTTGGGAGAACATTTATGTCATAACTCTAAGCAATATCTTTGAAATAGTTTTAAGACTTTAGTTTGATTCCCATCAGAGGTATAAAATTTTAATTTGATTTTCTGGGATGGAGCTTGATGGTTGAATCCTTCTGGGTAAATGGCTTTGAAAGAAAATAAAGCAGGCATTACATTTCTAAAGAGAGACACGGATAGTCACCCTGAGATGTTTTCCTTCCAGGGTGAGCTGTTAAACCCCTGCCGGTGTGATGGGTCCGTTCGGTACACACATCAGCTGTGTCTGCTAAAGTGGATCAGTGAGCGAGGCTCTTGGACCTGTGAGCTTTGCTGCTATAGATACCACGTCATAGCCATTAAAATGAAACAACCTTGCCAGGTAACCCCTCACCTTTGTTTTGTTAACATGCATGCAGTTGAGCGTAGTTACGATTCAGGATGTGTATGCTGTTTCAAACCATTGGAGGCTAATTGTAATAAGACCAAGATTTAGAATTTGTAGCCATGTGCTTGGAGACAGCCATGGTGTTTTATCTGAGAAACTCAAATCTTAATGCAGTGTTTTTCTTTAATAACTTACTGAACAAACTATACCCAGTTTTGTGTTTCAAGGGGCAAGTTGGTAAAATGCTATATACTACATTTAAATCCATTTTGTTAATTAGGAATGTTAGCACTTTGTTTTAGTAATGTTTTGAGCTCTTGTGAGCTCCATGTGTAGAAAACAGATGCAAGCAAAGTAACATAGGAAATTTAGTGATCTAATCTAATTTTTCTTAATTTAACCAACTCCCCCCACCCTTTTGAGACAGGGTCTTACTTTTGTTTAGGTCAGCTTTGAACTCATTATGTAGCCCAGGTTGGCCTCAAACTCATGGTGATATTCCCGCCTCAGCCTCTTGTGATCTGGGATCATAGGGTACCTCACCCCACTCTGCTTAGCTTTCTTTTTCATGTGAGATTTTTTTCCACAGTTAAGTTTTGGTCACTTTCATTTTTTGTTATACCCAACCTTATAGTACATGCAGAATTATCATCAACAGTTGCTTTCAATAATACTGTTAAAATTATATGCATTGTTAAACGTTTGTGTGACATCCCATAATAGCCCCAAACCACGAACTCACAAATGTCCTAAAAAATGGGCTTTTTCCTCTCTTAATTTCTCCTGATGGAACTGATTCAGGATCTTTGTGTAGGCTACTGGAATGTAAAGTGCTAAGTATGAGATCTTTTCAAAAAGTAGAATTATGTGTAATCAATAAAATCTGTTAGTGAGATAGGGCAGAAAATAAGCAGACGTACAAGAAAAGGTTTAAAACCCAGAGACAAAAGATATAAGGAAGGAAAAGGAAGAGGGAATTGGGAAGTTGAGGGATAAAATAATAATAAAATCTAATGTTCCCTGTTTCTGTCTAAATTACCAAATTTGGTTTGCATTGAGCCAAATAGCACACATATAAAATCATAGTTCTTGCAGGAAGAACCTGGAAGCTGATTTGCTACTGCATTAATAATTTAAATTTCATAGTTTAAATTTATGTACCCTTCATATGGTTTGCAGTTAATTAGCATCTTTGATAATTGCCATTTAAGGTGTAATTAGCAAGCATGAAATGAAAATATGAAGTTCTTCAAGCTGACCGGAGGCCTATGAATTATTTGGAAAGAGGAAGCATAACTAATGTGGATGAGTGATGTCATTGTGCTGCAGATAGATACAAACATGGCACATTTTCCCAGAACCTCTAATTGATTGAACTACTCAAGTATCAGTTTATGGGTCCTTCATAGCTGTCTTGAAAAAAACGGAACCATGTCCAAAAGTCAGGATGTGGTTAATGTAGCTGTATTTATAGCAATCTTATGAATAGGATATATGAGAAGGTAAAGGAACAGAGAGTTCTGTTGCTCCAGTGAGAAGTCCAGTGAGGTCCACTCAAAAGCTAAAATGGGAGGCTGAGTATTTTGAAAGCTCTAATTTTTGGACACTGTGTATTCATTGAGTATGTTAATTTTGAGGTAAATAGAAGTATCTCTTTGATAAACATTTTAAGATAAAAATAAAAACCTGGCCAAAATACTATTGGCTAATTGTAGTTCTACAGAAAAAAAGAAGTGGCTATTACTATCTTCTGGCTCATTAAAATTCAATATGTAAACAAAAGCAATTCCTCAAACTGCATATAACATGATCCTCACCCTCCACCCTCCAAAAAGAACCCAAGCCCACACACTAACCTGCTATTACTGATGCACTTAGGCTTAATTTTGTTATGACATATATAAATGTTATGATCTGTAGCTCGAGCTGACTTTTGCAGTGAACTGTGAAAATAATATCTAGAAACAAGCTTCATATGAATTTGATGATAGCTGAAATTATTGCAGGGATGAAATGACTTTCCATGACTACTCAATATGTAGCCATGGAAAGTCACTGTTGATAAATGTAAATCAGTTACAGAGTTTCCAAGATGAGTTCTCATACATAGGACTATTCTGAAATGAGCCTTGGCTGCTTGAACAATATTGCTGTTCTGGATGACCCACAGCCTCAGCATTGGCTCCGAGTTTTAGCTTTCTCCTTTGCTGGAGTGTGGCCAGTCGAAGTTAGCATTTACAGCATTTGTATTTGCATAGCACGGTCGAGATTCCCTTCCTCATGATGCAGGATCAAACAGAAAGCATATTTATGGCTTCTCCTTCCCTTCCATGTCTCTGAGTGTGGTCCTAAGAATAAAGCCATCCCTCTGCTGTGAGCGGGTGGTCCCTTGCATGTGGAACAGAATGTAGAGTAAATAATATTAGGAGAGAACATTTAGCAAACACTCTGTATGTGAAGCACTGTTCTAAGTGCTGTACATATATAGATACTGGTATTTAGCCTTCACAACAAATCAGTGAGGAGAGAAATATCATCTCTACTTTATACAGAGGGAAACTGAATCACAGAAAAGTTCAGTTGCTGCTCCTGGGCATGTATTTAGCAAAACACAAAGCCAGGATACAAACACAGTCCATCTGACTGCAGGGTACAAGGTCTCAGCCTCTGTGTCAGAAAACATTCTGCTCATTACCTGCTTGCTATTTTGATGCTTCTGGGTCTGTTCTGACTTTTCAGGTAAGCAAGCAAGAATTGATTTTGGCCTCCATCTCTGAGAGGGTTTGGAAGGTTTGTGACTATCTTTTGCCATATAACAAACCACCTCAGTACTTAGTGGTTTAAACACCCACTACCGTTTATCACCTGAGAGTCTGCATGTTGGCTGCTATTATCTGGGAGGTTCTTTTCTACCTGTGTATTACCTGGCACCTTAATCCAGGGTAATGCATTTGTTTGTGTTGTTCTTGGTACTTCCGCTGCCTTATTTCTTCATGGTTTCACTGCTGCTGTAATTTCTTGTGAAAGCAAATCACAGGAACCATTGTGATTCAGAAGAGAAAACAGTGCCTCTGAGCCTCTTTTAAAGAAGGATCACTCATTGTAGGAGATAGCCTCTGAAAAGGCCCTCCAGACTTGCCCTTGTCTCTATTTTGCCCTCATTTGGTCCAGATGGAGCAGCGCCCGCCAACATAACTTCTCTCCTGGGGCTTAGAATCAAATAAATTAAAAAAAATATAGGAAGATGGATTCCAGCAGTGTTGTTTGATGCACTTTCAAAAGTGATTATTAGCATATCATCCCCTGGGAGCCTGACAAGGAAGAGCCAGGGGGCAGGTGTGGTGTGGGAAACACACTGCTTACTTGCTTTCCTTAAGGAGATTAGAATTGTTTGAGAACTTGGGTCCCATTTCATTGGATTTCAGTGATGTTCATCAGTGTGACACAAAAGAAAGCAGCAGATATATCCTCTGCAGCATATTTAAATCTTAATTGCTACATCATTAGTGGTAGGAGTTAATTAAGGCATTTGAGGCAATTAAAAATGCATTTACCTTCCTACCTACTTGGGGAATCCATTTGATTCATTAACATATCTATATACATTAATAACATTTTAAATGTGAAAGCCAATTCTGTTTGGAGTCTCATAGTACAATATGGTCTAAAGTTAGTGATACGCAAGAACGGATAAGATCAAATTTTCTTTGAGATGTTGGTGACGTTTTGGATTAGTTAAGCTGTATTTCAGTGCGTGAGTACAGTAGTCTCAGTACTTTTTCAAGATATATGGATCTTTGAGAAAATAACATTTATTAAATGGCTATTGGATGCGAGACTTAAACTTGTTGTAAAAACAGATTGCGCTGCCCACAGGTAGGAAAAAAAAGATGTAAATGGAAAATAATAGCAGTAAGCTACTAGGTAAGTAGGTAAACTACTTACACTCTGCGCCTCAGTTCATGCATCTTTAAAAAGGACATGATCATGCCACTGTACATTATTTTATGGCTCAGAAACATAAATATATGTGACGCACTTAGATCAGTGCCTGATAGAGAGTTTGGGCCATGTTCCTCTGGGCTCTGACCGTGAACACCTATTTGGTTCCCTAAGACAGAAGGACTTCTGCTTGCCTCCACCCTGCTCACAGGACCTCTGATTTCCTTTCATTCTGCCATATCATTCTTTCTCAAGGCTTACTTTTAATTGACAAAAGTAATAATTGCATACATTTTTAGGGTGTGAGATGCTTTAGTGCCCGCCTCCATCATGGAGTGATTAAATTGGACCAGTCAGCTTCTCCGTCACCTTAAAAAGTTTATCATTTCTTTGTGATGAGGACAGCTGTTTCTTTTAGCTATTTTGAAATATATAAACTGTTCTTAACTGTCATCATTGTACTGGCCAATAGAACGCAAGAACTTAGTCCTCCTATCTAACTGTAGCTTTGTACTGATTGGCCAGTGTCTTCCCTTTCCTGACCCCTCCCCCACCCTGGCCTCTGGTAATCCCCATTCTACCCTGTCTTTAATGGGTTTGACTTTTCATAGATTCCACCTGAGTGAGATCATGTGGTTTGCAGTTAACATAATGCCCTCTAGCTTCAAACATACTGACACAAATGAGAGAATTTTCTATTCTTAGTTTTGTTTTCTGCTTTTCTTAAGGTTGAATAATATTCCATTGTATCAGTGTACCATATTTTTTCATCCATTGATGAAGACTATTGAGTTGTTTTCATATCTTGGTTATCACGGATCAAGTGTCATTCTTTATCCGTAGAGTTTTCACCTCTGCTTTTAGGGAAACCCAGTTTGGTTTCTGACAAAATTAGTTATCATAATTAATGAATCACCCTTTTATTCAAAGCAGATATAATGAGCTTTAGTGATATCAGTGCACGTGAGCATATTTGCCATCCAAACCCTCTTCACCTTGGGGCTTGCTTATGTCTTTTTGGAGTCTTCTCATAGTTGAAGTTATGAGGTGCT